TTTTTCTTCACAGATGCTGCCAGACCTGCTGAGCTTTTCCAGCAACTTCTGTTTTTGTTACCATTATTCATCCCTTTGCCTAACTAATTGCCTTTGTTTCTGTCTCTGTTCATTCTCCACCTACTTACTTCCACCTCTGCCAACCACCACTCACACCCTCTTGCCCCCATCACCTACTCACAGGTTTTCCGCATTTATACCATCTTTCCTTAGCTACTAAGAGTTCTGAAGAAGGGTCACTGGCCCCTTAACGTTAATTCTGCCTTCTCTCCAAAGGTGCCACCAGACCTGTTGAGCTTCTCTAGCAATTTCTGCTTTTGTTTCTCTTTCCCAAGTAGTTGGTTTCTGTCAAACTTTGATATAGAGTAAAAAAAAGAGCAGAATAATTGATACTTGCAACTCTGGTACAAGGAATTGTGCCAAAAAAGCATCTTCTCAGAAACATACCTGTAAAAAGTCGTGACTTGGACAATATAAAACAATTAAGCCATAACACCAAGCTATACTTACCAAGTAAAGCAGACATATTCTGAAAAATGCCAAGAAGCTCTGGCGTGATTGATGGGCTGTTTTCCAATGTCACTAACCTATAAGATGATAGTAAAAAGTAGTGAGGAGTTTCACTAACATTTAGCAGTTACACAATAAACAAATGAACAGCATCAACTGATAAGATCTAAAATCCTGCAGTATCTCAATGGGCAATCTTGACATCAAACACCTGAGCACTGTCACTGATTACGATACTTAAGACTGTAATTAGCAATTCAGAATACCAGTTTAATCACACAGCTCATTTGCTAAAGGAATCAACATCTACAGATAATTTTTAAAAAATCAAAATCACAGAATAATGTTCCAAATAAGATCACAATTGTCGGTTCATTTTAACTTAATTTCAGCAATGTATGTGTTCCTCTCCTCACTTAAAAAAAATATAATCTTGCTGAGCGTTATCTCATACAAAGAATGAATTACACTGTTGTACGCCACATTGGTTGATATATTGCTGGTACTATGATGTAATAATTCTCAAACTAGTTTTAAGATGCACATGAGCAATGACCATGCTGGGCTACTGACTGGGCTTCTGGTCTTTTGACCTTGGCAATTGAATTGTGAATGTATCAATTCTCTTCGAAACGTGTGTAAAAATACAGATTAAATACATGTACGTGGAATACGGACATTCATCCTGTATTTGCTCCTCCAAATAGCAGTAAACAAATAGTATATCTGGTTGTCTTCACATACAATCTTATACAAATAGTGCTTGAATGTACTGGCTTGACAAGCTTATCACTCGTTTTTAATTTAAAGATAATATGTTATAGCTCAAAATACTACCCCAAAATTAGAATTTACAACTCTGGTACACATGTTCTCCTGGAAATTTAATTACATGACATTTGTTCTTGTATCTACTTCAATTGACTAAAATTTCTATGAGCCACAGTCTGATTTTGCTATTATGTGCAGTTATGGTCTCCTTACCTAAGGATCGATGTTCTGCCTATGGAGGGAGCATTACAAAGGTTTAGCAAACTGATTCCTGAGATGGCAGGATTGATGTTTGAAGAGAGACCAAATCAGTTAGAACTATATTGAAGTACAGAAGAATGAGGGAGGAATCGCATAGAAATCTATAAAATTCTAACAGGACTAGGCAGGGTAAAAGCAGTAAGGGCATTGCCAATGACTGGGAAGTCCAGAACCAGGAGTCACAGTTTACGAATACAGGGTAGGCCATTTAGGACTGAGATAAACAGAAATTTCAACAGCTAGCAAGTGGTAAGCCTGTGGAACTCTATGCTATAGGAAATAGTTGAGGTCAAAACATTGAATATTTTCAAGGAGTCATTCTTGGTTCTAAAAGGATTGAAGTATATGGAAGAAAGCAGGAACAGGGTACTGAAATTGATGATCAGTCACGATTACGATGAATGGTACAGCAGACCCAAAGGGCTGATTGGCCTACATCTGCTTCTGTTCTCTATGTTTCTATGAGCACAAAGCAGAAGGAAAAGAGTGTAAATGCGCAAACAAACTGAGTGCAGCATAGTAAGTGGAGCATGAGTGTACGAAAAGATCAGATGTGATCTTATTGAATGGAGGAGCAGGCTCGAGGGACCAGATGGCCTGCTTCTGCTCCTATTTCTCATGTTCTTATTTTCTTGTTCATTGCTTTCTCTTCATTAAGTCAAACTTCTAATATTCATATGGTAATACAAATTGTACAATCTCACTAATTACTAATTTAATATTTTTTATGGTTCCATTTTAGAAGCTATCAAATTTCAAAACTGATGTGAATCAATTTGTCATAAATTTATGCCCATTGGTAGTGTACAAGTGAAGACTCAAAGATTAGTCAAAAGTTCTCATAAACATAACAAACAAAGGTGCTTATCTTTGCCCTCATTCTTTCTAAAAGCTTGACTGATGATCAGGAGTGGGAACCCAGCTGTCATTTTTCCTTTCCTTGATGCAAGGGGGTGAGGCTAATTGTTGTGCACCTATCACCACCGTACAGAGTTACCGCTCACCATAACTCTTAATTCCTTTACTGTTCAAAAATCTATCTTTGCCTTAAAAAGCATTCAATGAGGAAGCCTCAACTGCTTCACTGGGCAGGGAATTCCACAGACTGAACCCTTTGGGTGAAGACATTCCTCCTCAACTAAGTCCTAAATCCGCTCCCCCTTATTTTCAGACTATGCCCCCTAGTTCGAATTTCACCTGCCAGTTTCTACAACCTCCCTGTTTCTATCTTATCTATTCCCTTCATAATTTTATGTTTCCAAAAGATCTCCCATCATTTTTCTAAATTCCAGTGAGTATTGTCTCAGTCTCCTCAATCTCTCCTCAAAAGCCAATCCTCTTCATGCCAGAATCAACCTAGTGAACCTCCTCCGCACCCCCGCAGCACATTATTTCTCAATTAAGGAGACCAAAACTATACACAATACTCCAGATGTGGCCTCACCAGCACCCCATACAGTGGGCTGTTTTTAAACTCCATCCCTCCAGCAATGAAGGACAATATTCCATTTGCATTCTTAATTCCCTGCTGCATCTACAAACCAACTTTTTTGTGACTCATGCAAAAGGACACCCAGGTGCCTATACACAGCAGCATGCTGTAATTTTTCACCATTTAAATAATAGTCCATTTTGCTATTATTTCTAACAAAACGGATGACCTCACATTTATTAATACTTTAAAGAACATATGCTAAAATCTGAAAGTTAAAAACTTTAAAAAATTAAACTAGAAATTGAGAAAAACCAATTAAGTTTGGTAATGTCCACCCAAGAGACTTCAGGGAGAGGAGATACAGGGAAAGCAAACCCAGAGACATAATTTTTCTTTTGGAGGTTATTACACTCTAGGATGGCTCCATCTTTAGAAAAGGAGACAATATGAATCTGACTGCCTATAAGCCCAATACATGTTCACATCAGTATTCCAAAGGGTGGCACTGTGGCTCAGTGACTAGCACTGCTGCCTCACAGTGTCAGGGGCTTAGGTTCGACTGTCAGTGTACAGTTTACAGATTCGCCGCATGTTTGCGTGGGTTTCCTCTGGGTACTGTGGTTTCCTTCCACAGCCCAAAGATCTGCAAGTTAGGTGGATTGAACATACTAAATTGTCCATAGCATACAGGCATGTGCAAGTTAGGTAGATTAGCTATGGGAAATGCAAGGTTGCAGGGATAGGGGAGGGGGATGGATCTGTGGGGGAAATGCTCTTTGGAGGATTAATGTGGACTTGATGGGCCAAATGGGCTGCTTCCACACTGTTGGGATTCTATGAAAGGGTCTGTGAGTAAGTCATTTGGGGTGCAATATATGATTGGTCAGATACAGAGGGAACATTTGGGACAACCAATGAGGCTTCAGAAAAAGATTTTGCATTCTAAATCTAATTGTATTTTCTGAAGAAGTTATGAAGTCGGTCAATGAGGCAAGCAGAATAGGCCCAGTTTATTTAGACATTCCAAAAGTAGACTACCATGCAAGAGAGGAGTTCTTAATATCAAAGCTCCTGATTTCAATAAGTAGATATTAAACTTAATTGAGAACTCAATTGCAGGATGCAAACAGAAATATTGCATCAGATCAATCTGGATCTATTTGGAGATCAATCACCAGAAGCAAGGTATATCTGTGCAGATATAATATGCAATACACAAGATATTGCAATTGCCTATCACAAACCAAATGGGCCAGAGGGTCTTTGCTTGTCCATAACTGTCCCTGTGCTTAAATCGTATTTATTAAGTTCAATTTTACCTTATTGCCTTCAGAAGCAGCAGAAATCCAGTGAAGGACTGCATACTGATTTACCATGTGTCACTCTCAGTATTTAGTACCATTATTAACCAGAATACAAGTTTAAAAATTTAAGGAGGTAATTATATTTTCATTTTTTTTTTTAGCAGTTTACTCAAAGCCCTAAATGTTTCTATAATTAGGGATGGGCACTAAATACTGGCCTAGCTGAGGACACATACATCCCACGAACTAAAAAAAGGCCCATTGTTGTTCAGATGAGTATGAGAACTGCTGCTTTACTCAACAATTTAATTACCTAGACTTTTGTGTGCATGACAATTTCAAAAAGCACAGATGACAGGAATCTTGAAAGCACTGTAGGCTACATGTGTAGACATGTATAAGATGAAATCGAATGCAGAGTAATGTAAAGCAATACACTTTGGCAGGAAGAATGTCCTTTACTGTTCAAAAATTTATCTAGTCTTGCCTTAAAAACATTCAGCGAGGTAGCTTCAACCGCTTCACTGGGCAGGGAATTTCACAGATTCACAACCCTTTGGGTGAAGAAGTTCCTCCTGACCTCAGTCCTACATCTGCTTCCCTTTATTTTGAGGCTATGCCCCCTCGTCCCAGTTTCATATGCTAGTGGAAACAACCTCCCTGCCTCCACCTTATCTATTCCCTTCATAATCTTATATGTTTCTATAAGATCTCCCCTCATTCTTCTGAATTCCAATGAGTATAATCCCAGTCTACTCAGTCTCTCTTCATAATCCAACCCTCTCAACTCTGGAATCAACCGAGTGAATCTCCTCTGCACCCCCCTCCAGTGCTATTATATCTCTTCTCAAGTAAGGAGACCAAAACTGGACACAGTACTCCAGGTGTGGCCTCACCAGGACTCTATACAGCTGCAGCACGGCCTCCCTGTTTTTAAACTCCATCCCTCGAACAATGGCAGACAAAATTCCATTTGCCTTTTTAATCACCTGCTGCACCTGCAATCCCACCTTCAGTGATTCATGCACAAGGACAACCAAGTCCCTCTGCACAGCAGCGTGCTGCAATTTTTTACCATTTAAAACATAGTCCATTTTGCTGTTATTCCTACCAAAATGGATAACCTCACACTTATCAACATTGTACTCCATCTGCCAGACCTTTGCCCACTCACTATCTATATCCCTCTGCAGACTTTCAGTGTCTTCTGCACACTTTGAGCTACCACTCACCTTAGTGTCATCTGCAAATTTTGACACACCACACTTAGTCCTCAACTCCAAATCATCTATGTAAATTGTAAACA